CGGCCGAACCGGGATCATATATACAGCCATTATGGAATTAGGTCCCCAAAACCATAATAAGGATGGTCTTTTGGGACCTAATTCCATAATGGTAGTATATGTGGACCCTCTGGGTAACTACCCATGAACCTCCAAACTAGACTCAGATCCGCGATTTCTCAAGCCATGCGTCTTCCGGAAACGGCAGGCAACGTGGAGCCAAAGGAGTTATCGACAACCCCATGCAACTCTGAGTCCCAAACCCAAACCCCGGTGCAAGCAGGATTTAAGGTTTAGGGTTTAGGATAATAAGAACAAAAAAATTAAATCCCAGACAGAAACACCCGAAATCCGAAGTCACCACAGACTGAAAGCCAGGCTCTTGATGGCACGAGGAGATTTGCAACCGCCAGGAGGGCCCACGGCCCCTTCCATCTGCAAGGCAGGCTACCTCGAAGAGGTTTAGGGGTTCAGGGTCCCGGGCTCTAGAAAGCGAAAAAGTAGCAGCAACAGAGGACGCGTGACTTGCACGTCACCCCACCATGCCGATTCTTGCGATTGCGACAGTTCGAACCCTAAGGACTCTGCTGAGCATCCGGTGCTGTGACTTCGAAGCCCCAGCTCTCGTCGCAAGGTGCCGGAGATTGACTCTGTCGACCCGCCGAGGAAGCCCAAGTATCATGGCTGAGCCCCACTTCTCAAGAGCACCTTCACGGGGGACGGCCGGCAGCAGACAGCATTGCCCGTGCAGCTGCTCCATACCTCGAGCCGGCAGAAGGGTGCTGTAACATCTCATTCTGTGTTGGGGACATCCCGGCAAAGCCCACGCGGCTTGCGCAGCTGAGCTCTGCCGAAGCTTCGCGGAGACTTAATGCAGAGGTCTGAATAGTCAGTCATAAGATTTCCCATATTCCCTATGTGACGAGACTATAGCTTACTATGATAACACAAACGCACGAAACACCCGCTATGTTAGAGGCCCCGGTATAGAACCCTTGTTCTGACTTATTTTACCCCCTTTGTCGAACCCGGAGCATCGCCATAGAATTTTCCGACCGCTTCGCGGCCTTTCCACCAGTCGCACATGCTGCAGAAAAAGAAGGTTTTGGGTTTTCGGGTTTGGGCTTCTTATAGGTTGGTCATAACGGTTTATATGATATGGGGGGATGTTGTATAATTAGCTAGAGTCTCCGCTCAATAAAGCTCATGGTGTGCTCACCAATATTCATCGAAACGGTTACATAAGTCCTATTTTCTGAGAATAAGAATGTGCACTAGATTGGGGTTCAGACTTCTGTTGTTTGTACCTCGCAGACTGCATGGTCTTGGCAGCTGTCGCACATTATGAGCTGTCCACCGCGATGTTGCCTTTATCTGCACCGAACAGATCTGTCTGGGCTTGGGCTGTGTAGGCAAGCGGATCATGGGAAGACCGAGAGATTCACTTGCATCAGCAGCTTTGAATTGAAATTTCAGAAAATGATGGACTCTAACATGAACCCGACATACTAGGATGTTACGGGGACCCTCAAACTCACAGTATAAGGACTCTTTCTTGATAACTAATTTAATCCCAACGTGCTTAATCAAGCAGGTGCCATTTGGGGGTTCGAGCATACTACAGGCGAGTGACAACCCCAAAGAATAGCCCCCCAAATGCCCTAAACCCCGAAGGCTAAACCTGAACTCTAAAAACTACACCGCAGTCAAACCGTGACAGGTGAGCCACCTGCCGCCAGCCCAACCATGAAAGCCTTGAGTTACGAGGCCCGTGCCTGCAACATGCTTGCTTCGGATACTCTTTCATAGACCTTACATCCTCAACTAGGTCCTGAACCCCTAAGTCTCTAAACCCCCTAAACCCTAAAACCCTAAACCCCTAAACCCCTAAACCCTAAACCCTAAACCCTAAACCCCTAAACCCCTAAACCCTACAAATTTAAACCCTTAAACCCAAAACCCAACAAGCTTAAGTTGCCTCTGTAACTCTCAGGCTCCCTTCGCCAAAGAAGCGCGAGCTCAGCGACAAAACGGGCCAACGGGCTACCTGTCTCTTCGGATTCCTGTAACGGTTGCTATAAGGGACTTTCCGAAAATTGGTGGTACCTTATTTTGGGGTCCTTATAATAAGGATCCTTTTACTTAGGGTACGATATTCGGGTCCCCTATTTTCGGAAACCCCCATAAGGTTCCTTCAAGGGTGCCTTTCAGAGTTCTTTGAAGGGCTCCTATAAAGGGCTCCTTTAGTAGGGTTCCTCTAGCCTATAAAAGGGATCGGCTCCTGCAAGGGCCCAGGCTCCTTTAAGCATTTCCACAAAACCCGAAACCCTAAACCCTACAATTTATAACACTTCAGGCTTCGGTTTCTTGGCATAGGGGCTCCTGTTGGGCTTGCAGGGTCCAGTTTGTGTGGTTTTGGGTTTAGGGTCTAGAGGGTTTCGGTTTTTGGGTGCAGGGTTTAGGGTTTGTTGCTGAGGGTTTCGGCTCCTGCAGTGGCCGTGCGATTGCGTGTCTCGGGTCTTGAAGTTCAGTGGCCTCGCAGCTTGTTGCCTTCCGCATTCCATCGACTTGTACAGAAATAAGCAATCCGAAACCACACTTTAGGGGTTTGGAGTTTGGGTAATTAGATTTCCAGGTGCCCCCACGTGTCGGACATAAGCAGTGTATGTTATTCCTGTTTGCATTCTAGCTCAGCAAGTATTAGCAACTGCGGTTGCGGCGTTTGGTCGTGGTCTTTCAGGCCCACCGCAGGGAGATCGGTTATGGAGTGGGTTCCCACTCCGGCCCTAGACCAGCTAGATGCTTCGAGTTTGGAACCCAAAATACCAGAATCCGGAACCCTTAACCCTAGACCCAGCACAATCAGGCCCAAGAGAGGTCGAACGATCAGGGAACGGACCCCTTTCAGACGATCATCGACGAGAGGTCCCAACATCACAGGCTCACCCAGACCCTAAAGGCCAGCCATAAACCCCTAAACCCTAAACTTGGTTCCGCTTCCGCTCAGGGTCTGCATTCAAGGTTTTCACGGCGTTTGTGGTCCAGGCTGTTTGTTGGCGTGTATGGTAAAGTTAGTTACATCATCCATCCATCCATCCATCCA